GGCGGTGTCCGTTGCTGCCGGTAAAAGAGCTGCTAGCGATTTCGGGTATTCTCAAGCTGTGGAGCTTCCCATTGGCGAGTCGTCAGCTGTTCCTAGTGGCCGGGGAAGCAAACCGAGGTCTGTTCCCTGTGGACTCGGAACCCAAGCAAACGGTGAAAAAGCGACCGAAAACCTGGGACTCAATACCTAGTGAAGAGCTCTGTCTAGGCTAGGGCATAGCCAATAGTCCATATGTACGGATAGCAAGTATCCGCATTAGGGGACCAACAACCGTACCGAAATGCATGGCCGAAGGCAATGAGAATGTGGATTTCAGACGGCCGAGTCAGGACAAACAAACAAGGGCTTTCAGACTCAGAATCGTGTTGTTAGTCCGAACTGTCGGATGACAGGGCATTGACTTTGTTGATTCTCCATCCGTTCCGCAGGGAGTCCCAGGCGAACGATGGTTCGTTCGGTGTTAAGTCCACCGGCGGCGTCCGTCATCGGTAGGAAGGTTTTGGATCATGGTGCATAAGTTATGCATTCTCGTAGTTTGGTTGTGCAAATTCGGCCAGCGTGCCGCGGAGGCCCATCAACAGCTGTCAAGCCCACCAGGCTCTTGGAGCCGGTCCCAGAATCGGCAGAGAGAGGCCCATCGAGGTGGAGAGAAGACCGGCCCAGAACACCGCACGACCCAGCAAAAGGTAGTTGCGGTGTTGTGTACAGAGTACGTACCCCGAGAGCGGTCGACGGCATCAGCATCAGTCTTGCGGCCACACGGCGCATCGCTCAAAGATGCCGGCGGAGAGAAGAGGGGGGCCATTTTGGGTCGCTGGCGGTCGGGGTCGGCTCTGGTGTCAGTGGCTGGCGACTGGTGAACGTCTCCCGAGAACCCTGGCCGCCACGGCCCACGGGGATCTCATTCCGAGCAGGGATGAGGCAGAAAAACAGCAGGGAGGGTGGTAAACACGCTTGGCCGCTTTCGTGGTCCCGGTCAGAGGAAGAAAGCAAAAAACGTTGAACTGGAACCTGGCACCCTGGTCAGTTTTTGGCATCTGGGTGCAAGGGAGGAAGAGGGAGAGCAGACCAAGAGCAGAGCAGCAGGGCAGGGAGCTGGCCGAGCTGTGATCCTGGGCTTGCAGAGAGAAACAAAAGGGATTTTGGGGTTAGCGCAGCTGGAGAAGAAGAGGCAGTGCGGAAGCAGGACGATAGACTACCGCAGTCCTGAGATGGATGGCGGAGAGGGCCGACACGATGTCAGCGATGACGGGTGGATGCAGATGGAGAGGTTTTCAGTGTAAGTGAGGTGAGGTGTTCGTGGAGGTGAAGACCTGGAGTCGGGAGGAGGAAAGAGGGGAAGACAGAATGCCTGGATGACACACGTGTACCTCAGGCAACAGATAAGGTAATCAGGTCAACCAGCGGATAAGGCAGTGACGAACGAATACCTTAGGTTGAGGCTCTGGTGCCTTCCCTGCTCTCGTCGCGATGATGGAAGGAAACAGCGACTGGTCCTGCCTGCCTGAGGTGACGGCTGGCGGGAGAGAATGGGGAAGGAGCCCTGAACCCTGCCCCGCTCCCTGCACCTTGCACCTTCCACCTTCTTTCTTCCTGCACCTCCACTTGTACCTTCCATTCAGTCCCGCGACCAATGAGACGCTGCATCAGCGTTGGCGTCGCGGGAAAATGGAAGATGCAGCTGTCGACAGCAGCTGTGAGCTGTGAGCTGTGAGCTGTGAGCTGTGAGCTGTGCCGTGTCCAAGGTTGTCCTGCAGAGAAATCGACGGTTGGGTGCTGAAGGTCATGCTTACGCAGTATGCTCATGTTGGCGGATCAGAGTCCCGGCATAGAGATGTCTTGGATGCAATGCCGGTTGTCTGTCTGGTAAATGACCTTTAATGCAGCATGATGTAAGGTAGGCCGAAGTCATTGATGCTGATGTCAGTACGTACTCAATGGCTTCGTGCTGTATCCGTAGCCCGATGCGAGTCGACTTAGGTGCGCGCGCACCGCGTTCTGCCGTGTCGTTGCCAGAGCAGTGCCGCACGCCAGCTGGCTTGGGAATGGCCTCCCTCCCGTCGCATAGGCAGTTAATCAGTTGGACTCTGGGAGTTCTAACCAGCAGGTTGAACCGACAACCCCGTGTATTCGTGCCAAGTCAGTCAGTCACGCTGACGGTGTCTTGAACCGTTCCGTCCTGTGTCTCGAATGTCGGAACCGGAGTTCAGCCCCATGGAGAGACAACGGCGTCCAGTCGACGTTGACAACTCTGATTGCTGGCCGTTTGCCGTCTTCCCCTCTCATCAAGGTCCGCATGCCCTTTCGCCGGACACGGGCAAGTCAAACGTGGCTCCGGCACAAGGCACAAAGCACAGGGCAAACAGCAAACCTCGAACGGTTGGACCCAAGACCCAGAGCCAAGAGGCTGACTCGAATCCAGATCCAGAAGCAAAGAGTCGCAGAGAGAGACATGGCACTCAGTGTCGCTTCATGTCTCGTGGCTTCGCGGGAGGAAATCTCCTCCACTCTCCTCCGCACTCGCGCCAACTCCTAGGCTGAGCTGGCGCGCGCGCACCCACGGACTGGTAGGAGGGGCTTAAACCGGGTTGGGCCTAGAGGCTGAGACGGTTGTCGGGCAAGCTTATTGTTTGTAACAGATGTCGGGGCAAAATAAAGAAGGATGTCGTCTGCTTCTTTTCTTCTTTCCTTCTGAGACAGCCGAGGCGGAGGGGCGGAGAGGCGGATCATGAGGGAGGACATGACGGACGCTGGATTCTGGCTTGAGGGGCCTAAACAAAGAAAGAAAAGGCCACAACAACGACGAGAGGCTTGCGCCAAGGCAACAGCAAGAGCCCATTTGCAGTTGTTCCCGAGCTCCCCGAGGCGCCGACTTGAGCCTTTGCGTGTGCTTTGCAGCAATAGAAAAAAAAAAGAGGCCTCTCGACAAGTTGTTGACTCGTGATTGTTGCCGTCATGGTCAGTTGTGAGGCCGTCTCAGCGTTGACTGACTCCAACGTTGTCCTTGTTCTCCGCGACGCCATTGCCACGACTGGACGGTACTGGTGCTCGGGTCGGCTTCGCTTCGACCTCGTCCTTTGAAATCGTTGGACCGAGGCATCTCTTTGATTTTGCCAAAGATGTGACCTACGTGGAAAAGATGATGATTCGGGTTGGGCTTCACTCTGTGGAAGGAGGTACCTCGAGATTCAATCGAATTCAATCCTGGTCGCATGTACCTTTGTACCTTCCCAGAAGAGGACGAGAAAAAACATTTTCTTAAAAAAAGGAAGGAGGGCAGAAGGAAGAGGGTACGTACCGCTACTGTCTCCAAAGTCCGGAGTCCAGAGTCCAGATGGAAGGAAGCAGCCTCACGAACTATTCTCCCGGTGCCTTCCTTCCTTCCTTTCCAATTTCCAACCTGCGGCAGCTGTAACTGCAACTGCAACTGCACCTCCAAAAATGCTGCCTTCCATCCATTCTTACAAAGCAGACACAGACAATACAACAGCCATCCGTCGTGTCCACTGTCTCCCCAAGAAAAGTTAGCTCCATTGGGTTGGGTTCTTAGCAAGGTTTCCCACCAAGCCTTTCCTCCTCTCCATCCTAATCCTAGCTCCCGGCCACGGCCTCCATCCCCAAAAAAATCCACCAAAAAGTCCAAAGTCCACCATCCATCATCCACGCCCCCTCACCACCACCACTACCACCACCACGATCCTTAACCGTACACCCCGGCTCTTCCTCGCTTCCAACGCAGTTCGCTCGGTGTCTTCCCAAGTTCCCACCACAAGAGCTCTTCCACACCCCTCGTCACTCTTTTCTACACCCCTGCCTGCTCATCGACCCTACCTTACTTTTGTACCCTGCCTGTTTTTTCTTGCACCCGCTCGTCCATACATTTTCCTCGCCCACCCTCCACATGCTGCAAAACCGCCTGGGAACCCTTCTTCGTCCTGTCTCTCCATCTCCCGTCCGTCTCCCGTCTTCTCCTACAGACGCATTCCCAGCCATACGTCGCCAGCCGTCTGCCGTCAGTCGACTTTCAACCTGCCGTCCAACCCAGCAACCACAACGTCTCATATATCGTCGACCGCACCACCACCACCACCTCCTCCTCTGCTCCCATCGCCAACTGCCTCCCGTCGCAGCGCCCCGTCAACCGCTGTCATTCCCCTCACGTGTCCGCCCTGCAGCAAGACCCCGTCCTGTCTGCTCAAGTGTCGCATTGGGTCCGTCACCACCCTGTCTGATTGGAAGAGGAGGACTCTGCGCTCAAGGGAACAACAACGCACGCATACGCAGTATACATATTCTTGCTGGCCCCCCCAGTACCAGCCCAACCACCGCGACCCAAACCGAGGTACCCTGCTACCCATCGTACACGTGGGACGAGTCACCGCCATAGACATACCGTCTGTTTGACTTCCTGTTGGAGAAAGACCGCCAAATTCTGCAATCATCCCACGCTGTTTCCGGCCACCGCTGCCATCACCGCCTCGACTTGAAACGACGAACCGACACGTCTTGTGGGCAGAAGAGAAAGAGTCAGAGACGATACCCGACTTGGAGAATGTCGAGGTAGAGAACTGGTCGATAGGAAATATCTAGAGTGGCGCCGGCGACAAAGTACATTCCGACCTGCCCTGCAGTACTTACACGACTGACACACCCCACGACGACAACGCCAACCTTACACGACTTCATCGCAACTACTCAACGGACGCGTGCCTGGCAATGACAAAGGACCAAAAGCCTAGCATTACATTTCTGGTTGATCTCACTGTCACTGCAGTGCCTATTTTTTAATCCTCCGCCTACCCCACCACATTCTCCAACGTGCAACGACGCAGCATCTCCGAGATCGTCATATTTGCTGGGTCTTCCCCAACCGCCACTGCAAACCACCTTCTTGCCACCAGCTTTTCCAAAGTCACCATCACCAACACAGTCTTGCACCGCCGACCACCTCTGCCGATATTACCTGTCTGCTCAGGCGGCGCAGCCCTAGGCCCGGCACAATGTCGCCCCAGCTCAAGCCGTTATTGCTACCGCAGCTTGTAGAGCGCCGTAAACTGGAGGAGCAGCATCTCGACCTCGCAGACGCCGACATGGATCACCAGTGCATCTACTACACGACCAACTCGTCCTCCTCCGACGTCGCCTCACCTGTCACGCCGACATTCTCAACCCGCGGACATCTGCGGTACTCCAGCTCATCATCATCAATTGATCTGACTCAAACCTACTGCAACGATAGCCCGGCATCGCCGACATCAACATCCCACTCCAAGTCTTCCAAGCGTCCTCTCCCTGATGTCCAAGAAGAGCCTCTGGAACGCGACGAGTTCGATGAGAGCACCATTCTGGCCGAGCCTTTCGATCTCTACAACTGCCTGTGTAAGTTGCACGACTCCACATCCCAATAGCAAAGGAACGCGCACTAACACGTTGGCCCAGGCGACGAGCCATGCATTCACAGCGAAAGCTCCGAAACGCTTCCCAGCAGCGTGTACCCTGCTGACTTTGACATCGACTACGACCTGGGCTTTGCGAGCGATGCCGACTACTCTGCAAACTTGGAGAGGAAACGAAGCGGCACTGAGTCACCATTCTCTGGACTGGCTACGCGCATTGGGACGCGCTTCCCTCAACTGTCTCGCTTCAAGTCGACCAGGCGTGCGCAACTGACCGCTTCGCCCACGACCGAGTTGACATTCGAGACCGCTCACCCCGTCTCCCTAGCTGCCTCAAGCCGATCGTCATCGCTGTCCAGCCCGTGTGCGCAGGTTCATGAGCCGTCAATCTCCACACCTGCGACGTCATTCTGGGAAAGCTCCGAGAGCGTCGATATTCCTGCCCCCATTGATATTCAAAAGGCCAACGAGAGGGAAAGCATCGAGCGTGACCGCGCTTTAGCTTCAACCCCCCTTCTCCCTCCTCTTCTGACTTCGCCTCAAACTGAAGCGCCTCAACCGAGCCCTCTCCAGTCCCCCACCGTCGCACCGACAATTCTCTCTATGGAGGTTCCCTCCACGCAATCGCTAGGCCACATTCCGACACCTTCTCTGAGCACAAGGCCTTCGGTGTCTTCTTTCCGCCACGTCCAGTCAAGTCAGGAACTCCCCTTTGGCTACCCGTCCATCCTCCAGGATCATGATGAGTGGTCAGACCGACTTGGCCACGCGAACTTCAGCATTGCTCCGCAACCCTACGAACCTGAGGCTGCCACCATGGAGTCTCTTCGACTCCTCCGCGCCGACTGGGAAGCCGCTCGCGCCAACTACATGAAGCATCTCGTTAGAACTGGCGAGAACTATGGAGAGACGTCCAAGATCTATGCCCTCACCGAGGCAAAGTGGGCCGAGATCGAAAAGAGCTGGCGCGCCTTCCATGAGCAGACAATGGAGCGCATCGTCGCCTCCAGCAAGGTCAGCGCTCAGCCTCCCCAAGTTTCCCGCAGCCGCAGCCGTGGGCGCGGGCGCGTTCGTTCCTCCAGCGGCGGCTCTGCCATCTTGCGCCGTCCCGTCAACGACGACGTCTTCGCCAACGAGCAATGGCGCCGTTTGGAGGACAATCTGCCCACTACGATGCCTCGCCTTGTCGACACCGAGGGCAAGTTCCCAGAGCGTGGAGACGAGGATATCGTCGGACCCATGGAGCGTGATACAAAGATGATCCGCGCCAGGAGTGAGGAGCGCAAGAGCAGCCGGTTCTGGCGCAGCCTGGCTGGAAAGGTTGGCCTCCGAAAGTGAAGCAGCCTCCGGCCACGACGACTCTCAAATACAAAGCCCGAAGCTGAGGACTTCGGATTCGACCTCAGGGGCTGAGAGATCTACTGTTACGACTAATGCCCCCGAAACAACGATGACGACCACAGGTCGCTGACATCGGCGATCCTTACTCTTTTCTCAAAGCCTGTTCTTCACGAGATACCCACCTTCGTCACTCCTTGATCGGACACGCTCAACAGGCTACGTTTTCTTACGACACCTCACGACTTGCGCTTTTGCATTTTCATTTTACTTTCACCTAGAAAGGTCCCAAGAGGACCGCGACATACTGTCTTTTGTCTATTGTCTAAAAAACCTTATTGTCTAGAACAGCCGAGCGCCCCCGGCGGCGCTGGAGGTCTGTAAATACTTTTCTATGTCACCGAAGGGAACATATGTTACCACTGGGAGGAGGTGTGTCAAAACAAAAAAGGGACCACCCGATCTTAGACTTGGAAAAAACCAAACGGAGTTACAGTTCAGGCCCGCGGGGTAGCGGCTGCCTGTTGTTTTGTGGATTTACTCGGCGTATCACAGGAGCGAGGCCTGGTGCTACGGTAGGACCGAGCCCGGCCGTCTTGTACAGAGTTGTTTTTTTACCATTTGAAAGAGCTCGTCTGTCGTTGACAGGAAGACGAGCTCAGCTGTGCCCGTTTTGGGTGCAGCCTCCGGCCCTGCGCCGTGAGTTGTCGGGGTTGATAGCCTGCCATTTTGCAAAATGGCTTGAATGAAACTACTGAAACATTACTTGTCTTGCTTCCTCTCCATGTGAATCGCCATGCTTCGTATCCAGCTACATCCTCACACCATCTTCATCTTCAGACCTCGTATGCTGATAAGCGAGGACGTGGCCGGGTCCATGTCAGCAAAGTCGCGGCTGGGGAAACACCGCGTCTCCCCAGCCCCTCACTTGGTCTCTCTCTATCTTACACGCGTCGCGATCGCGGCAGATGCGACGCTGTCGATCCCCACCGGGACCGTCCGCCCGATCACTGCGGGCGGCTCGTTTGATATTCTAAGGATGTAAGCAGGCGCCTGCCCACCTTTACCTCCGGGGGAAGGAAATTAATTACTTTGGTTTTTGGACGTGTCGAGTGCGTCCGTCGCTGCGGCCGTACTTTTACTCATCTGCCGCTGACAAGACTGCGTCGCGCATTGCAGCCGTCTTGCTGGGCGGGGTAGGTGAGGTAGCGAAAGGATGATTTCTATGAAAGGCTCGTTGCTGGAGGGGGGGGGGGGGAGTCGAAATAGATTGGGGATGTGAGGGCGGAGAGATGTCATTCGGCGCCACGCGGGGGGTTTTCAGATGCGGGTCGCCGTGACCTTCGCTGGAATGCTTTTTTTGCTTCTTTCTTGGAGTTTCCTGAGGGGGCTGATGCGGGCTGCCTTTCGTGGGGAGAAGTAGGGGAGATGGATCGGTAGGTTGCTTACTTTTTCTTTCCATGGGTTTGATGTAGAATACTCGGTGGGTGTGTGGTTCGGATCGAGGTTTGCGGCTGGCTGGCTGGTGTCTGCCCTCTCTGCTGCCCGGAGCCGGGAGGATGTGGGATAGAGGGTATGTGCAGCCGGCGGCGGTGGCGCGGCGAAGAGATATGGTATTGTAAGTACAGCAAAGTACCTGAGAGGAGGGGGTGTCGTCGTTTGGATGAGACGTATGCAGGTCGCCGTGGGGGTTTGAGGTGCCTGGTGGCATACCCGTCACGTCAAGTCAGCTCCGGCTCGGGGGCTTGGGGTTGGACGTGGAATCGGACTTCGGGACGGACCTTTGCGCGGATGACGGTCTTTGGGATTGAGGGAATGGGAATGTGAGAAGTGAGATGTGATATTTGAAGGAGGGAGGGCCGGAGCGGGCTGCGGCGGACGGGAGGGTGCAGTGTTGTGAAGCTGGGTTTTCGGATGGGGAGGGAGGGGGGTTTCTGTTAGATTTAGCGTGATGAGGTGTTATTGGGGGCGGGAGGTATCGCGATGTAAGTGAGATTTTGATGATTATCGTACATTGGTCTGGTGAGGTTTGTCGTGGGGGGGGGGGTCGGGCCCGGGGATCTGTGTTTGAATCGGTGGGTTTTGGTATCGGCGCCGATGGTGGGGCCGATGAGGGGCCGGTTTGGATGGTTTGGGTAGGTCATTTATGGAGGGGGTTTTGGGTCACGGGATACTCTGTTAGAAGTTTTCTGAAGACAAAGGTGTTGAGAAGATGACGAATGAGGGATTTAGTCTACGTATGAGTGTTATATGTAGATTTCTTCGGCGCGGGATATCGGAAGTTGCATCAGCGCACGTAACGCGAAATTGAGCAGGCCAGATGTCGATGCCGTCCTTGTGATTTCGGCCCCGTTGTATGGGCCCAGGAAGTCCAGCAGGAAGCGCAACTCCCTAACGATACTTGAGCATTGATTTCAACTGGTTCAAGTAAAGGCTTGGCGCACTCGCTCAGTCGACACCGCGTCGAGTCTATTACTAGGCCCGTGGTAACACGGAGGCACGTCAACTCGTCAACCTTTCACGCATACACCATCTTCTCGCTTGGCAAAGGAGCTTCCGACGAGGTGCTTCTAGCACCACCACTACCACCACCACCTCCGCGCGACCGCAGAATTTCGTATCTCCGTCCGCTACTTCCCACCACGACAGCAAGCTCTTCACCGCCCACACCCTCCTCCGAGTCCACCTCCACCCGTCTGAAACCCCCAGACGTCTTCACCCGCGGCAGGATCTCGGGCTCCTCGTCGGTAAAGCCAAAGGCGAAGTGTTCCCTCCCAGGGACTCTTCCGAATCCGATGTGTACGTGGTTCATCTTCATCTCGAGCCGTTTCTCCATCCACCACCGCTCGCTCTGCTCCCCTTCGACCTCCAGACGGAGAGGGTCGTCCCAGGGCTGCTGGCGCCGTGCGGCATCGTGATTCTTCGGGCCGAGTTTCAGGGCTTCGCTTGCGCTGGCCCAGGAGAGGAGGTCGGCGATGGTGGAGTATGTTCTCGGCGTCCGTCCGGGCTGGATGTCTCGGAGGCCTTCGAGGAAGATGCGGATGGCGAAGAGGGCGAAGGCGGCGGCGCAGAGGACGGATGTCGGGCGGTGGAAGCAGACTTTGCTACCGCGCGTCTCTGGGATTTCGTAGACGACGATGCCGGAGGCTGTTAGGGGGGGCATGGCGACTTTGTAAAGCAGAGCGCAGAGCGTGACGCGGGCGAGTTTGTGGTGGTTGTGCTTGAAGGAGTCACGAATTCCTAGGGGACTTCTGGCGCGGTTTGGTTCGAAGAGGAGGGTTCGCGCGGCCGTGTTGGTGGACTGATCGGACATGCGTGCGAACGGCTCTGTATGGGCCATGAAAAGCGAAAAGGCGTTCCAGAAGTACGAGATCTGCAGCGCGAGGGCCATCGGGATGGCGTCGAATATGACGTGCGCCCAGGTGCGCTCGAGAGCGGGGAGCTCCCAGCAGAATTCCTCGCTCTCGTCGCTCGGGCTGGTGAGGGCGATTCCGGCGATGAAGAGGACTGCGAGGCCTGCGGCGAGGAAGGCGGTTATGAGGACCGTTGGGGGTCTTGCGATTGTGGGGGTTGAGGTTGGGTTGTGGCGGAGTCTGGCGAGTTCTTGTTTTGTGATGGTTTCTGGGAGGGAGTGTTAGGAATGGTTCCGCGGGAAGTTCTTGAAGAGACGAACCGGTTTGGTATTTGGTATCAGGCGCTTTTGGGGGCTTCTCGATGGGTTTGGCTTGGCTGCTGGGGTTCTCGGTCGATGTTTCTTGACGCATGTGTCGAAGCTCCAAGACGGGTGGCCCCGAAGGGATGTTCTCGCCCGATATTGGAAGCATCTCCTCTTTTCCTTTGCCTAGATACGTTTTCGTAAGTCAGTTGTCCTTGGAGCACACGAGAAGCATGGACTCACCTTTGCTGAAAGAGCCGAAACCATGCCAGTAGTCCCCATTCTCTCTCTGCCAATACCCAAGTCGGATACTCATATCTCCCAGTTGATCCAACATCGACGATGGCGTCGCGACCGACGACCCCTCGAATCTGTCCCTAAAGTCTGAGTAGCGAAAGAGGGCTAAAATATCCGCCATCGTGTCAGGGTCCCATCGCAGACCCGTGGTCTTGTTCCATAAGCTGCAGATCAACAGAGCCAAATACAGCTGGATCACGCAGTACACGATGACGAGTATGTGGCAGATGGTCGCGTTCACGCGGAGCGACACGACTCCACCGAGGTCCTGCACCTCCTTGTAGAAGACGACGGAGTCGAGGACGATGATGAGGTAACTCAGCCAGTACATGGTATGAGAGGAGAGTAACAGCCAGTCTCTCGCCCACCACGCGTTCCACACCGGCGGCGCGGGGAAGTATCTCCGGAGAACGGTGTCTCGGGCCGATGCCCCCTGCTCTGTGGCGCATAGCATGAACGGTGCTACCCTTGAGAGGTTGAGAGCTAGGTATTCGAGGTGAGCTGCTGTCGCGGTTCCGACGAGGACGAGGAGGACGTTAAAGCCGTAGTACGCTGACGTGTTGATGTTGGCGGATTGTGTTTGCGGGACCATGGCGAGCGCTGCTAGGATTGCGCAGTTGGAGGCGATCGCAATGAAGAGGGATCTGCTCTGCAAGACGCGGGGTTTGTGTTTTAGGTTGTCCCATCCTTGTTGGATGGATATCTCTGTGAGGCGTGGTGAGGTTTCTGTCTTGCGATCAGTAGTGCTCGGGTTTGCCGTGTACTGGTGGATGTTCTTGTGTGAATACTTGCCGGTGGTTCCTTCATGTGGTATGGTCGAGGGATCGGTCTCGAAGCGCACGGTCTTGCTGGACTCGCCATTATTCGGAGCACTCGACGGCGTAGTCATCGGGAACAAGCGTATTGAGGTCGGTTGTCTCTTTACCGTATGAGATAGAGAGAGAAGTTGGCGATACAGAAGTGTCTCACACGGGCTCTCGAACAGAACACATGAATGATATACTCTCGAACTTCAACCTCGCCTGTGGCGGTTCTCTCTAACGGTCGAGTGTGATGGAGTTCTGCAGGGTAACGAATCAAGACAACCCATCACTTTCCTTTGACGGGGCAAACGTCTCAACTTTGGTCAACCCAAGGCTCAGAATCGCAAGTTATACGCTGGAGAATTCAAGCAAACTTATGATGTTACCTCAAAATGTAGCTTCGCTTGCGTTGTCACACCCGACCATGCCTCATCTGGTGTTCTCGTACGACTATCTTAGGATAGCCACATTCGCTTTGATGTGGCCGTGGCTCGTCATGCGACTTCGCTGATGATTTCGGAGGCAGCCAGACATTAGCAATGGTCATTCAACTCCATGGTCTCGTAAGATATCACCAGTTGACATTTCCATGCCTACCCAATCTCTACGCCTTTAGTTGCTTCCCATCCAAATATACCGACCGGCGCCGAGTATCCTCCTATCCTATGCCTTAACGGCCCCTTACCTTGCACACCTACTATCCATCCCTGTTTGACCGAACTTCCCTTCAACAATAGTATCTCATCAAATTGCTGTTGAAACTCCTTCTCCAGCGTGTGCACTGCTATCACGGCTATGGCCATGCCTCCTCGAGACCTATACAAGTGCCAGTTTCCGCCACGTATACTGATACAGTTGAGCCACCGGAAGTATTTACCCTCTGCTACCATTCTCCCCTCTTCATTTATACTGATGCGTGGTGTGCGCGCCGGATTTCGCCTCCCCTGATACGATTCTGATATCTTTCCGACCTCTGCCTGTCCCCCTTTCCCAGTGTCACCCCAGTCTGCCTGCCAACAACACCCATCCACGCGGTTGGGGGCGCTCGAAAGCATCGCAAGACCCACGGCCCCTAATCTAGTCATGGCTGTGACTGCTTCTTCTGCCGATTGCGACTCCAACACGGTGCTGTCGGCCACCTTTCTCATCAGACCCAAGCATCCCTTGACTATGTCCTGACTTTGAGTTGCTCTGCGTCCACAGACCAACCTCATCACCTCAGCCAGATCGTCCAGATGGCCCACCGGCAACCCCGCAGTCAGCTTCCCAAGGCGTCCCAAATCCTTGAGGCGTGTTGCGCCGATGGTGAAGAGCCTCCACTTGTTCTGCCCGGCGTGTAACACTTCCAATCCGGAGGTACAAGAACAGCCTTCCACCTCCCCACCGTAGTCACCACTCCTGAGAAAGTTCTTCAGCCTGGTTGCTCCAGACTTTTGTAGTATGTGCGGAATGATCTTGCCGGGCCGCAACACCGTGCCCACTTGCACCTCGCGCATGAGCCACATGAGCGTTGCGAAGGAACAGACGGACTCGCCCCATACCATGAGCAGCCTCGGTGGCAAGACCGCCTCCTGAAACGTCCAGATACGTGACATCCAAACTGATTCCTCCAACTTTTTCTCTACCTTCCTTCCCCATTTCTGGGCCTTTGCCCGTGTCGTGTTCGCGGGAATCCGTTCGATGCCGAGTCCTTCAAGTTGTGGTATCATAGCCACAGCTCCAAGGCTTTTCCTGTAGATTGCCCCCATCACTGCAATCTGTTTCTGTACCTCCTGGCTGTCATCTTGCCTGATGCAAAGGGCATCTATCCAGATCTTGGTGATGCCCAAGATGCTTGGGAGGATCTCCAGCTGCTTTTTCATTGCGACCGAGGGCCGGCCGTCTCCTTTTTGTTCCCACTCGCCCCAAACGTAGGACAATGTCCAGTATGCTGCTCCATCCCAGTCTTCTACTACCCCGTTCACGATGTCGTATAATCGCAAAGGTCCTTCGGTGCGGTCTAGGACTTCATCTGGTCCTTCATGGACATCCGCCATGTCCCACTTCACTCCGAGGAGAGCGGCTGTGGTTACATTGGCATCCTCAGAGCTAAGCCATCTTGCCCGACGTTTTAGTCTACCCGATCTCTTTACGTCGGCCTCCAGCTCCTGCTGACTCCATCCTTGGAAGTCTTTCCTCAACTTGGAGAGGCTCGGTGATAGCATTTTGTGCATGGCTGCTTTCTTTCTGTCCTGTTTCTCTACCTTTCCGTTTTGTTGGCTAGCACAGCGTGCAAGGTCAGCCAAAATTGCAGGCGGACCGACTCGATACAGTCGAGAGTCTTCTCAGATTGCTTGCGCCTAGGGTGTCAGAAGGCACGTATTAACGATGCGCCGGCTGCTCTTGAACAGGAGTCGATATACTTGTGATTTCACTCCAAGTTTGATACAGCTGAGACCAGGTTTTCTTCGTCGTTTCAATGTCGTTTCGCTGCGGCAGTGGTCTGGCTTCAGCGACGCCCTCGACTATGAATCGTTGCACCAGATTCTCGAAGTTTCATGCTTAAACCATTAGAGATCCAAGAATGACTGAGTGCTGCAAAGTACTATTCTCATCTTATTAAGGAGATATGTGCGTATGCAGATGGCCAGGCGTGATGTTGGGTGAAGTATGAGACCGCAGCAGTACATAGGGATGTTGGTGTTGTTGTTTGTGCACATCTACGGGGAAACACTCCTCTTATTACACATGCACGTAAAACCCATGTGCCATCACGCAGACGTGTGACTTATGTAATTGCGGCTTCCAGATACACGACCTCTGATTGAGTAGTCCAGATGGGTGGTAATTGGCGGATATCACCAAGCTATTGCTGACCGACCTGCATCGACTGCGCCGCCTGATGCTGCAGGCGATTGGGCCAACCCCGCTGCGATAATGCGGGTTTTCGGTCACTCGAGAAAGCCAGCCCGTCCCATCCTTCTTCAACACCACAGAAGTTCAACGGTACTGAATGGAGCAGAAGCTCGGTAGACACTTTCAAGCAACCGCAACACGAAAGAGCACGCTTGTAAAGATCTTGATATCGTCAAGCTTTACCAGATACACGACCCTCTCTCCGATGCCAATCATCCCGGCCCGGAGAGGATGACGCCCGTAGAGATCATCGGTCTCGTCAGCGCCGTGATAACGTTCATCGACTTCGCTGCCGAGAATGTCGCTGTCGCTCGGGAGATCCAAAAGTCGGGCAGCGCTGCGGTGAAGGGAAACGAGGATCTGGAGCGCCGAATCAAGTTGTTCGACGACCAGATTGCGAGTCTTCATCGCACGACACCGGGAGCCACAAGAGACGTCCACGAGGCCCAGTTGCTGAAACTGTTGGACGAGTACAAGGATCTGACGGTCAACCTGCTCTCGCTCCTCGGCGGACTCAAGTCTACCAAGAAACGACACGTTCTATGGAAGTCCGCGAAGAACTTTCTCAGAAAGGACGAGAAAGAAAGTCTTGTTCAGGACTTGGAAAACTGTCGTACGAGGATTCACCTTCAATTGACGCAGGTGATGAGGTTGGTCCACTTTGCCCCGTGGAACAAGTTCGAGCATGGTTTGCTAATCCGAGCACACAGACACGATCTCGGCCGACGCCTCGACAACATCAGCGACCAAGGGGAACAACAAATCGCCGAGTTGAAGACTCTGAGGCAAAGCACCGAAGCCCTTGAGACCAAGATGAAGTCATGGGAACACATGCCCGATGTCTTGGATGAAGTCCGCTCGCTTGTTGCCCAAGTCAATGGTGCCCTGAGTCGAAAGGCGCAACGTCGAATTCTTGAGAGTCTGTGGGTTGAGGGCATGGTCGACAGATTTGAGGAAGTCGAAGAAGCCCACGAAGCTACGTTCGAGTGGATCGTTGATCATGATCAACTGCTCGAAGACGAGACTCCAGAAGAGTCCGCCGCACGCCAACAGATGGTTGACTGGTTGACTCGGGGACATGGTATTTTCCATATTACCGGGAAGCCAGGTGCGGGAAAGTCAACTCTCATGAAATTTCTGTGTCAAAGCCCAAAGACCCTGGATTATTTGAACACCTGGTCTGGAGAGAAGTCCTTGGTGATAAGCAATTTCTTCTTCTGGAGACTGGGTACGAAAGTGCAAAAGTCGCTAGAAGGATTACGGCGCTCTTTGTTATACTCGATCCTGGAAAAACTACCTGATCTCATCCCAACCGTCTTGCCTGAGCTATGGAAGTCCACTTTCGATGATCGAGTCATGAAGGTTCGCGCCAACGACGTCGACACGGCCCTTGAGAGACTTCTGTCCCAGGGCAACTTCCTATCCTCGCACAGGCTGGTCTTCTTCATCGATGGTCTTGACGAATTTGATGGGGATCACGACAAGATGATGAAGGTTCTCCTCAGATGGACACGAACTTACCCCGACGACGTCAAGTTCTGTGTTTCCAGCAGGGAGTGGGAGATATTTACACGAAGACTGGCATCCTCTCCGAATATAAGACTCCATGAAGTCACGCAACGGGATATTCAACATTTTGTCGATTGCGAACTGCACGAGGATGAAAGCTTCTTGGATTCTTTCAATACTGAATCTAGGTTCTCTAGACTTGTCGACATGATAACCGAAAAGGCCGAAGGCGTGTTTCTGTGGGTAAGAATCACGCTTCGCGGGCTCAAATGGTCCTTTACACCGGACGATGATATTGCGACTATTGAGGAAAGATTAGATTCTTTGCCCAACGAACTAGAGGCTCTCTTTCAATCCATATTCGATTCCATTCGAGACATTGGCCACGGCAACCAAAGCGACAGGAAGTCGACCATGCGGCTGCTTTTGACAATTCTGTCTTACTCCGAAGACGATGTAGGATTGAAGAGATCGTTGGTCATGTTCTACTCATTTCTTGACGATTACCAAAGAGACACAGACTTCGCCTACAATCTTCCAATCAGAGCCATCGAAGCATTGGCCCTTGAAGAAAGGCTCGAGAAGACCCGCAGAGCAATTTATCGACAATGTCTTGGGCTCGTAGACATATATGAAAGCTATCACGACGACACACCGCGCTGGTTTAAAGATGAGAACCTACTCGGAAATCGGTCAAAGACCACTGCGAACGACACGTACACCAATGATGAAATCGAAGACAAAGAAGCAAGTCAGCACAGCTTGGGCGACTCACCGCCACAAGAGGTTCATGATCTAGCCCCTTTTCAACGTGGTACCTACTTGTCTGCCAAAGATAACGTCATACGAAAACCCTCCATCTACGATGATAATAGTCGTCACATGCATTTCAGTTTTCACGATAGTGCAAAGTTTCACCATCGATTCCCATCTCGCAGAAGTGTTTGGTGCATTCATAGAAGTGTGCATGAATTTCTCCACAGGCCGCAAATCGAAAGACTTATGCGTGCTGATGCCGAGGGCTTCAACGAAGTGGACTTTCATCTTCAAGCTATTCTGGCGTCTTTCAAGATGTTTCGCCCAAGCGTTCATTTTGTGAGAGATATCCTAATGGATGAACTATACTATGTGCTGAGCCGCAGTTATCGCTTCACGAGACGGATCACTCAAGACCGCCTAATCACATACCTTGAAGAGCTCTGTGTGATGCTGGAACACGATCATGCGATCATAGGCATGCACTTCATCCAATATTTTTGCGACACAAGGCCGTACTCTACAGAAGTGGGAATACTGTTGCCACCAAGATTGGCACTTTCGCTTCTGCTTACAAAATTGGGAATCGAGAGAAGCCTCCAACCCCTGCCCAATATGGAATCTGCCTACCGTGAGATGGTAGAAGGTCGAATGATCAAATTTATAGATGTTGCTCTGAGCAATTACCTTGACGGCATTTTCGGATTTTTCCGCTCCCCCACGACTGACGAAGAGGAAACGATGACTGAGGTTGCGGACCTCGTCTTGGCAAGGATGACTGAACACTTCGAAGCTGGTCTCTCGCCCAACGTTACAGTGATGTGTACGGATGAGCTGACGTACTGGCACCAATGGCTTCTTTCTTTGCTGGGATCCGTAAATATGAGCGATATATTCGAACCATTCCTTAGGCTCTTCCTTGATTATGGAGCAGATTGTAATATTTGGTTCAAGTATGGTTCGAGTAGAATTTCGATGTGGTTACATGGGGCACCGGGGGCTCAATGTCTTGACTTGAGCGAGCCGAACTGGAACAGAAGATGGGGGTATCTTACCAAGTTTGGGAAGTTTCTGACCGAGCGGGAAGGACATGAAGGCATTGTGTCTTTTGGAGAATTTCTGAGCGTCGCATATCCAAGATGTAGTACTGAGCTACAGCGGCTTGCCGAGTTGAATGGAGGCTCGAATCCCCCGCCACCTCTGGAGGCATGGGACGAATGAATCGAGGGTCTACCGCTCAAAGACGCACTTTGAGAGGAAAATGAATATATATTGTTTGATAAGTATCTAGGACTATCCTGGTGTGAGATCGATTGGCTGCTGCTGCTGCTGCTGCTGGGAAAGCTTCGCAAAGTCTCGGGATACGTGACGTGAGGACTGTTCCAATTGTTCATCGACAACCCGCCACTCAGCAAGGTGAGGTTGCCATTTGACCAACTTCGCTTGAATGTTTCCGGCAGCGTCGAAATATACCTCTCTTCGCACAAGACGTGACCATTCATCCCCTTGATCGTTGCCCACGGTCACATTCTCCGCCTCGATCTCCATATTTTTCATCGCGATAGTATGAAACGTTCTGCTGTCCCACAGGCCATCTCGTCTGGGATGCTTCCCCAGTAACTCAGTCGCCTCTTGCCTGACGTCAGGGTCACGACAATTACACGCCACAACTAATAATGGCATCGTGGGGCCGTTATCCATGCTGAACACATCGGAACATCCGCCGCAGTTGGACTGTGTTTCCAAGATGTCTCGAGATAGGTACACAATCTCTCTGAACTCCGGTGTCAGCGCTGTCACTGCCTCGACTTCACTGTAGCTCGTACTGATGACGTCGGTCCACAGAAGGAGGTACTGCACCCGCAGGTTACACGCCTCGACGTATGAGTGGAAGTCCCATTTCCTACCTTTTCTCAATTTGTTGTAGACGCCTTGAAAGCCATTGGACCAGCGTTGTAGGTGACCCAGGAATTCTGGAAGGACCATTCTCAGATGCTCGGCCTCTTTCGAATCGTAGGTGGACCTACTACAGCTTCCAAAGCGAACTTCTTGCGCTGTCGCCGATTCGTCCGCATACATGTCCTTGTAAATGGGACATCTGTGGCAAATATAGTGTTGCACGACCCTCCACCAACGCCGCCCAGAATGAAGACTGTCAAAAGTCATGGGCATCTCATCCACAGCGAAAGGATGTTTGCTTCCTCGGCAGCACCAGTTGATCTCGTTCTCTTCCCGAGGGTGAAGCTTGTTGTGAGACCAGGACTGCATCGTCATCCCTTGGAAGATCCAAGCAGCGTCGTCGCATACAGAGCGGACGGACTCTGTCTCTGGATTGGCGCCGACCAACGATCGTCGACTGAAATAGTCCTCCATCATCTTGTAGGCGTGATTCACATGTGACAACGCAGCGTAGCGATCGCCATGAAGGCATTCGAAGGTGACGAACAGGACGCAGCAGACGATGGCCCAGAGCATATTCTCGCTAGACGGCACCGATGTGCGGACAAGCTTGATGGCGCGAACGTAGTGCTTCAACGCAAACTCATAATGCGGGCCGTTGCTCTGAAGCTCCTTTCGTGTTCGGCGTTTGAGATTCGGGACAAGAGCGCGAGCCATCGCAGCCATTGCAAGGGCGGCGTGTTTGATGGCCGGTTCATGGCGCGCGAGCTGGGGAAGAAGGCGAGCCATGACATCGCTCGGGAAGAGGTAGATGTTGTTGACGAGAATACGCCAGAAGTCGAAGTAGCCTCGCTCTTCCGGGTCCGTGAAGAAAGCGCAGTCGTATCCGGGCTCAACTAGTATATCTTGCAATCGCCATGTTCCTCGAGCCACAATCGTGCGTTGGGCAGCGTGCAGCGGCCGATTCGTAGATTTGCTGGGCCGGTCGGGCGGGTATCCTTCGCATACCCCGGGGCCGCGAGGAGATTTTGTGCACTTCAAGCAAAATGGTCGGGTTTCGTCGCACTTGATATGTCGTCGTCTTGTGGGGAATGAATGTCAGAGACTAGATGATGGCAGCCATAGACGAAGAACTGACTTACTTGCAGGTGATGCAACCCGTTTTTACTTTCGGTGCGCAGACTCTTTTGACCCGCGGGCGTTGCTGAAGCGAGAAAGTGGCCATTTGGGGAGACATCCCAGGCAGTCTAGATAATTCGCGTCAGAAACGAGCTTCATTGCCGAAAGCCGTCGCCATCGGAGGCGACTCCGTCACGTACCGATTCTTTTTCCCCCGGGTCCCGGTCGTTAGTGGGGCCAGGCCTCCGCCGGGCGGGTCCGGGCTGGAGGACTTCGAGCTTGAATCAGAGGACTGCGGCTCCATCACGAAGACGACAGAATCTTCACAAATGACGAATGATACCGCAACTCTTGGAGGGGAATGTTTGGGGGCGACGTCGGGCCTTTAAGACGCAGCTTGGTGCATTCGCTAGTGCTTGCCAGCTGCCAGCTAATGACGGGATGATAGCGTGGAATCGACATCGCTAGCGCGGTAGGGCAGGATCCTTCGTTCGAATGCCCCTCACATTTGGCCCCTGACAGGACATGGATGGTAGACACTAATCTGGCTGATTTCTAGCTAATCCCGAGCCGAGGTGGTGGGCAGAAAGCCGGGGCGGCGCGGGAGATGGCTTACGGTGATGCCGCGAGTCTGCAGTCTTCGCCATCCTTGAAGTTGCTTTAACTGAAAGTGAACAAAGGGGCTCCCAAAACAGCGATTAGCATTGGGACTAGCTCTGGCAGCGAGTTACGCCGTCATCTTCACAGCCACGAAGGATTGTTCTTGCTAATTACTGAAGCGAGGCTTCCTGATTGAACGGCCGCTGAGGAGCTTATTGATCCCCTCCCGAGTCTCATCTATCAATAGACAATCAAGCCGTTAGAGAGATAATCTGAAGTAGAACCTGTCAGCACAAATCGCCGTTCGATCTAATCACTGGAAGGCGACGATATAGGGAGCAGAGCTTGGTCTGTTATTCCAATGTACCTGGCGGCCAGAACAACAGACATGTTTCGATAGGGTGTAATAACAGTATTGGACACCGCGTGTCAAACTCACGAAAATCTGTAGTTGACGGTCGACGTGTGTCAAACGTCGTCGAAACATTGGTGTCACTGAGTTCACAATACCTCCAGATTTTCCCCTGAGCCTTCAGGCTACTTAGTTCATTTGATGGGCCAGTCTCTCTATTTTATCATCCCTTGGTGGTATTATCTTGCAGGACTGGGAGAGGCTTGGCTGCATTTAACACTCGTCGGCACTGAAGGCCGAGGCCCACAGAAGGGGCAGTTATCAACAGCCTGATTGAGAAATCGGTGTAGATCAACGCCTTTTGCAGAATGTTAGGTGGTGCCTGCGAAGGAACGGTTGCACCAAATTCCAAGTTATTGCTGGTCTTCACTGAAAAAAACCTCACCGGGACTATCGAAATAGGAAACGATTCTTGGTTACCAGGTGTCACGGCAGCTGTGCAACCAGACCTAAGTAGCCCCAATCTGCATACTGAAGGTTTGGGATTTCTCTCCAGTGTGTACACTCCAACACGTGTGCTGTCTACGACGCAGTTTTGATGAAGATGACTCTTTTTATTCAATAATATTTTAGTTTTAATGTTGAACCGATTCAATCTGCTAGCTCTCCGCCTCGTTGGCGAGGTTCAATGCAACGAACTATCCCATAATTCATCATGGAAAGTACAAATGAAACTTACTGAACAGCGAGAGAACCACTTGATATCACTGCTTTAGCAAGTTTCAGTCGTTCCGAACTCGCTAGCGCCAGAGTGGTGGTGGTGATGGTGGTGGTGGCTGCCATGGCTGTGGCTGCCCTGCCTAGAAGCATGTCGCAAAACAGTCTTGCTACTGCTGCTCTGGCGGCGGCCTTGCTGCTCATGCATATGCTGGGTCATCCTCTCCTCGAGCCTCTCCATCTCGCGGCACTTCTCCTCGTACTTGGCGATGTACTCGTCACGCTCGCGATCGGCCGAGTTGCGGGCGGTGATGGCCTTCTCCTTCTGCTCCCTGGCCTCGCGCAGCATGGTGCGCATGCTGTTGATCTCGAAGTCGTATCCGGAGTTGCCGTCCTCGTACTCGGTGACGCTCTCGCAGACCTCGTCGTACTTGCACTCCAAGGTGTGGCACTTCTGCTTCAGGCTGCCGTTCTCGTTGGTGAGGTTGTCAATCTCGAGCTTGAGGGTCGAGACGAGAGACCTGTGGCTCTGGCCCTCGATCTCGTAGTCCTTGGCCCGGGTCTTCGCCGTGGTGTAGTCCAGCTCGAGGCGCTCGATGCGCTCATTCTTGACGTGGACCTCCTCTTGGGACTTGGTGAGCTCGGACTGGGCGTGGCTGAGAGTCTCTTGAATGAGAGTGAGCTGGCGATGCGTGTCGTCGGCGCGACCGGAGTGGCGTCCGCCCTCCTCCTCGAGACGCTTCTTCTCGAGGTGGAGCAGACGGAGCTCCTCCGTCTTCTTTGAGATCGTGTCGCGCATCTCACCGTGGGAGATCTCGATGCGAGTGATGTCCTCCCGAGCAGCGGCGATCTCGCGCTCGGAGTGCTCCCACTTGAGCTTCCACTTGCCGCAACGGTCCTCGGCCTCCTCCCATCTGTTGTGCTCCTTGCTGATGTCGCGCTTCAATTTCTCGATGTGCTGTTCGAGCTCAGTTTTCTCGTGCTTCACCTTGAGAACGCGCTGCTCGATCCTGGGGATGGTTTCCTGGAGCTCCTTGACCTCGAGTTGCTTCTTCTCGAGGCGCTCCTCGAATTCCTTGCACTTGCGCTTGATCTCGTCGTGTCTGTGGTCATGCTTGCGCAGCATCTCGTCCATCTCACCCTCCCTGTGAAGCCATTCATGCTTCTCCTTCTTGAGAACCGAGTTGACCTGCTTTGCGTGGACGAGCTCCTTGTGCTGGGTGTCGAACTTGATGGTGACATCATCGTAACGGGATTGAAGCTCGGTCAGCTTCAGGTCAATGCCGTCACACTTGATGCGAAGCTTTCCATACTTGTCCTCAAGCTCCGCCCGAGCAGTCTCGGTCGTCAACAATGTGTGTCTGTGGGTCTCCGACGTCTTCTTCGTCTCCTCGTGCTCCCTTCGGACATGGCTCAGATTGTCCTTGACCTGAGCGATATCGTGAATAAGAGCGCGACACTCGGCATCTCTCTCGGCAAGCTTCGTCTGGAACTCGGCTTTGTCGTTGGCGGCAGACTTGAGCTGGAGGCGGATCTTGAGAACCTCCTGCTTGCGCTCCTCGTGGTCGTGGTGATGGTGGTCGTGTTCCCTCTCCTTGCGATCGATGATCTCGGCAAACTCCTCAATGCGCTCCTGCATCCTATCCATCTCGGAATAGCAGGACTCGCGCTCGGAGATGATCTTGTTCCAAACCTCTTTCAGGGAACCGCTGCGCCGGGACATGTTGGCCATGAGCTCGGTGAGGGCAAAGAACTCGCCCTCGGCCTGAGCGGTGAGCTCCTTGGACACCTCGGAGCTGTGGTGACGTTGGTAACTTTGGGCCCATGATCCCCTTCGACTGCGGCTGCTCATCATGCGGCTGCTGTGGCCGTGACTGTGACTGTGGCTGCGGACGTTGCCGTACGAACGTGTCGAGCCGTTAGGACTGCCATCGCGTGAGAGGACGTCGCTAGAGCGGGGCATACGTCTCGTTCGGCCCATCTCCAGCACGTGGTTGGAGGTATCCGGCGAAGTAGACAGCTCCACATCGAAAATCCCGCCCGTAGAATGGGCATGGAAGTCCTTCGGCATGAAGTGGCCGTTGGTGTGAGTGTCGAGAGTTGCCATGTTGTCGATGTAGCGTAGGTTGAACGCCGTGGGTTTGAGAGTATGGAGTATCGGTATGAGTAAATGAGGATGTGATGTAGAGTGGATGAGTATTGAGAATCTTGAGGGTACGAACTCCTGAATATATAGATCAATCATCCAGATAGGCAATGCATTCTGATGTAAGTCAGGTCTTACCTCTCTGTTACCCGTCTGCGATACCGCAAAGGTCACCCACCTTGCTCTTTTGGCATCGCTTCAAGGCTCCTTCCCCCAAACCAGCCGCGCAGAGTGCCATAAACTCACCGTTCGCCGTCCGAATGAGGACCAGAAGAGACATGATCTCAGCCTCATCCCTTGGGGCTCAGACATGATGCTTCTTGGCTCCCTTTGATCCGAAAGATCGACACGTCCTCATGATATGTTACCGGCAACAGCGTCCAGCAGTTCTCTGCGAACATATTGCGACCCCGTACCGCACCAGTCGGTCTCTCATTTGACCGTGTCCCATAACGGCAAGAACACGTTCAGCTTCGGAGCATCTAAGACCAACGGCGCAAGACATGCATAGCTCCAGGGATTTGGAGTCAGTAGCATCAAGCCTCGATACAGCTGGGTCGTGAAAGTTGTGTCTGTATCCAGATATCTGGTTGCGGGTCGAGCTAGCCATTGAGATAGCAATGAGAGACATCCCGCAGGTGGTCTCCCTTGCCCAAAGCTCTGATAGGCTGTCTCTCGGCCATCCCATGTCTGATGTCACATCGAGTCCCCTACATGCTTCTCTGAGATCCTGTCTCAATCACCTTATGCCCAATATCCTCTACTTTTCGGCTTTTCGGAGTATTCGCATGTCGAGTACGAGGCGGTCAGTGACATGAACGAGGAAGTTATGTCCGCTTTGGAGCATCATAATCATCATCATCATGGATTCATGAAAAAAACAAATTCGATTCATCGTGTCCAACTGAGATCTTGTTCTTGCAAAAGCTTAGCGTGTTAGCCCATATTGCATGCGATTCAGCGTCCGGCCGGCAAAGCTGGCCCCGCGGTAGTATGTCACTCGGCTCCGAAGAATGATCGTCAAGGGCTGCTGCATTCCGACAACGGGAAAACTGACTTGGACGCTTTTCATCCAGATATTCCGCATTGGACATCCCGTGATTTCAAGACAAGCAATGTTAGTCCCATTCTATGTGCAACGCCGATCAGTCAACAAAACGGGTCTAATCAGCAGTGGCCCCTTACTCGATCCGATTTGTAGCATTCCAGGATCTGATTGCACATGTAAAACTGGCGGCATGTCTGATTCTTTTGATTGAGACGATTCAGGGTAATCTTGTTCGTGTTTCGTCAAGTTCCTCCACGGACGCGAGCATCTTGTGGCTTCTTGTGGCTGTCGTGCAGCCCTCGCGGACTAGGTCCCGTTCAGAATGGCTCACATGTCTTCAGCATTGGATGGCAATGAGAAACGCAATCTGGTTTCCCATACCGTGCTTCTTCTGATCTCACGTAGAGTTTTGAGCACACACGATGGTGTCTTTGGGCTGATACTGAAGTTCTCCAAACAAATGACGTTGATGTCCCGGGTATTTTACAGCCGAGGGGACGAGGCATGCTGTTGTCGTCCTCTTACATAAATAAGGCGGTCATCGCTCGTAGAGCTTTACTATGCATCGTATAAGTTCACTCAGAAACTCTTACAGTCGAATCTGTGGTTCTCTGAGGATAGATTATCTCAGGCCTCAACGTCAAGATTCGCATCGTTCTCGGTAACGCTAAAGCCGACTCCTCTTTAACGTTTTCGGGCCGAGCGAGAAGCCTTCTTCCCGCAAGCTGCATTCAATCGATTCGCTGATGTTTGGAAGAATTGTCTTACCTTAGAGCTCCATCCGTCAAATTGCACCCGTTTTCTCGATAGGGCTGCATCCTTCGACGGCACGTGAAGCGTGGGAACATGGGCCTTCGGAAAGCGCACATCTGGGGAACACCACGCGTCCGCTTTCCACATGGCTGGAACATGTGTCAGATTGGACTTGAGATGAGAAGCCTTGGAGAAAATGGTACTTTTGACATCTGGGGATAATACGTTGCTGTCTGTAAGTGGATGACAAGTTGGCTTAGTTCGTGCAGACAGGCAGTGATCCTTGGACCATATTCACCTCATGCAGGTAAGCCCTAAGCCAATCACAATCAACTAATACTTACAACAACTTCAACAACACTCAAGCAAGGTGGTTGGTAGTAGGATCAGTCAATTCCTTCTTCTTGGCAGTTGACGTGTAAAGCCAAAGTTGGGTATTCGTGTTCATTCATGGGCCTTTCTATTACACAGCACACCTGCCAACCCCTTCCTGGGTCACGTCTACGTGGGACTCTCTGGTTCATGAGTGACAGCCAATGCATTTTTCAAGAGACTTTGCAAGTTGACATGTCCAAAATTCACGACATAGCCGGAAGGTTCGGCCTATGATGTAATAATCTCTACATAATCGCGGAGCTTGTCACCACACAGACCCGCTACAACAGACCACCTCCCGGGCCCGGCACACCACCAACCAACCCCCCCTTCTCCACGGACATCCGTTTGATAAAACGGCTTCTCTCAACTGTCCGATGAACTCCTCACATCCGTATTCGCAGGATTCAAATTCAAAGACTTCATATACCGTCTATCCTTTCCTGAGCTAGCACAGCCGAATTACCGGTCAACTCGTCATCAATACTCCCTCTTCACACACTACCGTCGGCATCCGAGCACCGAGTCATGTTCCTCTCAAACAGAGCACCAGCGAAGCCGCTGCCCCGCTTCCAAACCAACACGCCGCTGGACTCGACCTTCGACCAGGACATCCGCGACGTGCACCTCGTCTACGACTACGACGCCGAGGACGACCAGGGCAACCCGGAGAAGTGGCGCTACGAGATGTGGTTCTTCTCCGAGGACCGCGTCGTCTACGCCATCCACGGCGGTCCCATGGCCGGCCGCGTGAACTACCAGGCCGCCACGTACCAGTGCATCCGCCCCGGCGAGCTGTGGCAGGTCAACTGGCTCGAGGAGACGGGGACCGTCTGCTCGCTGGTGTACGACATCCCCAACCAGAAGATCTCGACGCTCATTTCGTTTTCCCGGGGGCACTGGGAGAACCCCAAGGCGGCGCACGGTGACAAGCGGAACCCCGGCGACCTGGCGCGGTGGAGGGTGCTCGCGAGGTTCGGGCATCAGAGCGACAGGCTGATGCTGTCCGAGCAAGCGGACATTGTGGAAAAGTTCAAGGGGAAGGGTGATTTGGTGCCTATTTCTGAAGACGCGGTGATCTATTGACCTGTTTTAGTATTTAGTTAGGTGGCATTATAAGTGTAAAAGAAGTTTCCAGTATTCATTTTATAACTTATAGTTAAGCGAGATATTAAGATTAATACACTTTTTTTTTAAGTAACCCTACTATTAATATTAACCTTTACTTAGAATTACTACTATTTTATAAATATATAGTAGTAACTTAATATTTAATTATAAATAGTTTAATTATAAGAAATATTAAAGTTAAAGAAAGAAAAAAGCTTAAGTTAATAAGATATAAATAATATAATAAAGCTACTATATAACTAGGGGGCAGCAGCTAGGGCTGCTTTATAAGAAAGCCTTTCTATTAAGAACTAGTAGCTTTTACTCTTTATAAGTATCTATTTTAATAGAAATAAGTTACTAAATAACTTATATAATTATAAATAATAAAATATAATATAATAGAAGTTAGTATAAACTTTTAAATATATTATATATATTTTAATAGTAATTTATAAATTATAAAGTAATATAAATTTATTTTATATTATATTTAAAGCTTTTATAATAAATATTATATTATTTAACTTATATAGGTTATAGTCTTTAAAGTATTAATACTCTATAAAGCGTAAATATATATATAAGATCTAAATATACTTATTAATTTTATCTTAAATTAATAGTTATATAAAATATAATAATAATAATAATAATAAGTATAATAGTATTAAGTATTTAAATTACTTTATTCTAACTAGCTCTTTATTAGACTTTAATAGAGTAATATATATAAATATATATATAGAGTAATAATAAAATAGTTATAAATAAAGCTAAAAGTTTTTAATACTTTAAAGCTATATAGAAAGACTATTAATAAGAAAGATAAACTAGTGCCTAGCTCTAAATAAGCTTTATAGTAGTTTCTTAATATAAAGTTCTATAATATATTTATTATAATAATAGCACTTTAGCTTATATTATCTCCTAATAAAATAAATAGATATAATTTATAATTAAATTAGTATTAATATACTTAGCTTAACTAAGGTTTTTAGATATATATATTATTTATAAGAGCTATAAAAAAGGCAGGGGGGTAAATAGTAAGCTTAGTTATTAATAGGTAATAATAATAGCTTAAACCTATTATAAAGGTATTAAACTTTCTAGTTATAAATCCCTTAATACCCTTAAGGTCCTTTAGCTAGAATAGTATCTCTATTATATTATTAAATAAGCTTATAAAGCTAGCTACTATTTTAAGCTAGAGGCCTATTTCTTATCTTTTTATAATCCTTCTTTATTACTATATTTAAATCCTCTAAGATATTATTTAATAAAATATTATTTAATATACCTCTTAATAAGTATAATAATATAAAGGCTTTAGCTATTAAGTATAGTATCTAGAACCTAAGCACTAAATATAAAGACTTAGAGACCTTAGCTAAAAAGAAAACTCTTATAAAATTTATCTTTAACTATAAACTACTTTTAGGGCCTATTTTATATTTTCTAAAGTAGTTAGATAATTTAGAAGTTAAAAAAATTAAAGTAGAGCTATTTATATAGATTAATAATAATTTATCTATTTATAAGTATCTTATAGGCTTCCTCTAAATAGCTATAGATCTAAAGCTTAAAGTAGTTAAAAATCTATAAGTTAGGCCTATTTAGATAATATATTATAAATATAGCTAATAATAAGTAATAGGATTATAATAGCTTTATTAAATAGTAATAATAATAATAATAAATAAAGAGTTTTCTATAAATAAACTTAAAAAGCTTAATATTTAATAGTAGTATAATAATATAATAGTATAATAGGGTATTAGCTTAATAGCCTTAGGGCTAATTATCTAGTAGATAGCTAGAAGGAGTAGCTTAAAAGAAGAGTATTAAAGCGTTAAATATATAGTAAAAAATTTATTATTATTATTATAATTATAATAAGGGAAGTTAAAGTATAAAGTAATAAATTAATAGTTAAGATAGGAGGGCTTATATATAGGGTCTATAAGTTATATAGCTAAATAGCTATTAGTTAGTTAATAGGCTAAGCTAAACCTAAAGTAAGTTAAATATATAGTTTAAATTATAATATAGTATTTAAAGGTAGACTATTAATAATAATACTTTATTAAAAGTATTTTTATTATATATCTTTTATAATACTTTACTCTTGAAGAAAAAGTTTTTATATTTAGCTAGAAAAGAAAAAACTTTATAAGATATAATAAGATTAGCTATATATTTATTATTTATTATAGTAATTTAATTATTATATATATATAGTTTTAATTCTTATATTTTTAAAATACTTTAATAGAAAAACCTAAATTTAATAATATAATACTTTTCCTTTATTCTTTTTATTTAATACCCCTTTAAGTAAAATACTTTTAATATTTATAGATATAATTATTAACTATAATAAATTCTAATTATTATTTCTATTTATTAATAATATTAAGACTTAAGTTTATAGCTTTAATTTATCTTTAAATAAAGAGTTATACCTAAAGCTATAATTTAAAGATTATAAATATATTAATAAAATAAATATTAATCTAATTAAGTCTAAGTATTATTAATAAAAGGGATTTAATTTCTATTTTATTATTAAATATAATAAAAACTAAATTAAATTAAATAAATACTCTCTATAAGTATTAAGTCTTATTATTAAATAACGTTAAAGATATTATTAACTCTTTATTATACAATATCATTATATCTTTTAATATAAATAATATAAATAATAAGAAAATAGCTAACTATTATATTTATAAAACTAAACTAATATTTACCTCTAAATAAGCTTTATAGTAGTTTCTTAATATAGAGTTCTATAATATATTTAATATAATATTAATACTTTAGCTTATATAATCTTTTAATAAATTAAATAAATATAACTTATAATTAGTTATTATATTTATAGCTTTAATAAATATCTATAAAATAATCTTAAACATAAGGTTCTTTAAGCTTAATTTAAAGATAATTTAAAAAAGCTATTAAAGTTTATCTTTAGTAACTTAAGCTTAAAAAGAAGTTAAATACTCTATAAGTTCTTTATTTATAATACTATTTATATCTTAAAAGATAAATAATTAATTAAATGAAATATCTAAAAGTATATATACTAAAGTAGATATTATATTTAAAATAAAAATAATATAATATATATAAAAAAAATTAGATCTTTATATATTAATAAGTTAAAATTAATAATAAGTTTTAAAATAATATTATAAGCCTTAAAGAAGACTTTATTACTTCTAAAAAAGCTAATATTAATATTTTTATTTATTTTAAATATATTTATAGCTCTTATTTTAATTAGTTATTAACTCTTTATTAATATATCTCTTTTATATTTTAAAGTAACTTTAATTAGCTTAATAGAATAGAATTAAGATAAGCTATATATACCTATACCTACCTATACTTACGCGCGCCTATACGCACCTATATATACCTATATATATATATATAAGTATAGCTTTTATACGCTTATATTTTTAAGTAGTAGTTTCCTATAGATATTAATATTACTACTAAAGTCTTTTAAAAATATAAATATAAATACTATATTTATATTTATACAATTTATAGTAAAATATATTAATTTAAAGCTATATATATTAGTAATATAAATATTATAGGTATATAGAGTAGAATCTATATAGTAATAATCTTTTATATTTATAAATATATAATAAAGTATAATAGAGTTATAATTTTCTAACGTATTTAAAATTTAATTAATACTTTAGTAATATAAAATTAAAAGCTTAATAAGTTAATAAGGTTTAATTATAACTTATAACTACTATTAGTATTAAAGTAGTAATTAATATATAAATATCTCTTTATATTTAACTTTTATATTAATAGTATTATACTATTTAACTTTTTTATTATATATATATATATCTATATATAATTTAAATATAGCTAATAGTATTATTATTATTATTATTTCTTATTTATAGAGTAGACTATATAAGCTACTACTAGTAGTATATTATAATTAAATACTAATTAAAATCTTTATATTAATTAAACTAAATATTATAATAAAGACCTTCTTTTATTAGCTTATTAAATATATTATTATATTATTCTACTTAAATATTTATTATCTTTTATTATTTTTAAGCTTATTAGAACTCTATTAAGTTCTTTTAATCTATAAATAATATAAATATTTTCTACTTTATTAATAATACTCTTTATATTATATAAATATACTTAACTTACTAATAGTTACTATATTATAGTAGTACTATGTTACAACCCATTAGGCATAACCAACAAAGAACGCCCCACAAGGATACCGGGCGGTTAGAACGTCACCTTTATATATAGGATCACGGGAACATAAGGGGCTCGCCCGGAATGGAAGAACTATAGTATAAGTCACATAATAATAAGTAGGACTAACTTTCAATAAGCGGTCCCAGGACTAGGATAAGGATCAGGACTGACGTGCTAAGGGCGGTCCTTAAGGAGGACTAACTCTTAGATTGTAGTCTATATAGGAAGAGAAGTATCTAGGACTTATATATAGGATGGACTTAAGTCCGGCTTAAGGATAGACTTCTATAGCTCTTTAGTAATTAACTTTATAACTACCCTTACTAGTACTTTTAGCTATACCTAAGTAATAACTACTCTATAACTCTTATTAAGGCCTTAACTAATTACTAAGACCTTTAAAGACCTATAATTACTTAAATAGCCCTATAGAACGACTTAATACTATTTATAGTTTTTAATCCCTAACTTATTGCTAATACAAACCCACTATTAGTTAGCTGGCCGTAACATACTATAGAGGTTATATATAGTATAAACTTAAAGCTACTTAAGATTAAACTTCTATAGGTCTTTAGTTATTAACTTTATAACTATCTCTATAGATACTTTTAGCTATCTTAAGTAATAATTACTCTATAACTTTATTAATAACTTAAGTAATTATTAAGCCCTTAAAGACCTATTTTTATTTAACTATA